CACTCTTTCTTGCCCTGCTTAATGCCTTGTTTTGCTCAAAATGCTGTCTGGGACTTAACTGTGCCATGCCGGGCTTTCTATCTCCACACCAAGTATCCGAAAGCACTCTCAGGGGTCGGGCTCTGGCATCACCAGCTTCGAGGCTCAGAGTCTCATATTAAACAATGTGAATGTCGACCCTTAATCCAGCATTCAGAATGTGTTCAATATCAAACAAGCAAGAACCAGAGAGAGAGCACTCAGCACTCGGCTCAGACGTGACCAGTGCCGTGGGGTTCCGTGGGAAGCCCATGGCTGGCAGCTTCACTGCGAACAGCTGAGAGCACAGAAGCTCATTCGGCCACCCCGAAGTCTGAGACAAACCTGTCCTCTGCCGAAATCCCTAGGCGACCTGTTTGCTCCTTCATGCTGGAGGGGGCTCTCAGGCCCCTCGTGACTGCTCTGTTCCTCCCTTTGAACAGATGCTGCAAATTCGGCAGCCGAGGGAGGTGAAGGTTACATGGCCAGAGAAGACCCAGCGTCGTCTGTCTCGGAGTACAGGAATAATGTCAGCCTGTTTAAAAATCGCCGATTCAGAGCCTCCTGGGGAGCTGAGGATGTGCAGTGCATTATGCATATAAACAGTTGGAGACCCCAGAGATGAGCTTCGCAAAGGACATTTCTCACACGGTGCGCAACATCCTCCCACGCGAAGGAGTCAGTACGGCCGCGCGCAGGCCTGAGCCCGAGCCCAAGCCCGGGTCTGAGCAGCTCCCTCCCACAGAGGTCAAACTAGAACAAGCGCTCACTAAGAGCCCGGCAGGTTAGGCAGTAGCGTGATACGCCACCACATGCTTTGGGCCATTTGTTAAAAAAAAATTCCCTTTCCTAGTTTCGAGTTGAATTTCAACTTCACAGTAGACCACAGTGTCGGGGTGATGAGTGAGAAATGGCCCGGGCCAGGTACTGTGCAAGTCAGGCTGCTTACAGCTTGTCTGCATATTCACACCTCACTCGTCAGAAGCTAAATTAGCCCATTTTATAAATACTCTGTGCCTCTCTCCACAAATGAGACCCCGATCTCGTCGGAGACCAGTCCCTAGGACACGGAGCGGCAGCAGCTCACAGAGCTCAGAAAGCATTACCGAGCTCACATCCAGATGATAAAGCTGACTGCGTCCCGGGCATTCCTCAAGCTCGTCCCAGTGTGTAATACATCGACCCCAGAGCCTAGCGCACAGCCAGCATCGATAACGCTTTCCGCCTGTAATAGTCTTGCAAAGGCTCTGCAAGGGACGCAAGCTTAGAATGCAGCAGATTGCAGATACCATAAAAGACGGTGTTGTTTCCCGATCAATAGGGCGGTGAACATAGATTTTTCCATTCTCGTGGTCTTCGATAGAAAACAAGCCAGCCTCTGGATATTCATCCACTCCAGGTCCGCTGATGAGGTACATCAGTGACGTGTTATGAGACATGTTGTTGAACAGCTGGAAGGAGAAAACGACGGGAGAACAGAGATGAGAACGAGCCGCTGTGACAACCGGGCGCCCAGGCTAAGGATCACATGCGTCTAATGGACCTACCCGGCAACGCACACCCGAGGGTTTACACCAAGTAGAGAGAAATGCAAAGACACGCGTGTGATCTGTAATAGGGGAACACGACATCGCATCAAGACCCATCAGTGTGGCCCGACCCCTGTAGCTACTTCCTTCAAATAGCCTGGCGTGCTTTGTGGCTTTAAAGGCTCAGGGACATGCCGTGGGAGGATGGGCATGACACGTGATGCATCGTTAAACAACAAAGGCAGGTCGCACAACGGCACCCGCAGTGCGAGCCCCCTTCTTTAATCAGAGTCACGTGCATAAACTGGTAGGGAAATGCCTGGGTAACTAGCACGTACCGGTTTGCTCGATTTTGTTTTGTCTGTTTATTTGGAGACAGGGCCATGCTATGTCGACCCTGCTGGCCTCAAACACGCAGTCCTCCTGCCATGGCCTCTCAGGTAGCAGGGTGCTCGGCATATGCCCCACTGAAGGACTCTAATTTGTGAATATTGATTATCGCTGAGTGAAGGAGAATGATCATATGCTAACATGTAGAAAGAACTTGGGATAAGCTGGCTCACTATGAGGCTGTTGGAAAAGTCCTGACTTCCCCGACAACCCAGTGTAGCAGAGGCCTCACTTGCCTTGAAGCGTTTAGTCTGTAAAACCACGGTACCAGTAGATACCGTTTGATCACTGAGCCCTTTCCGCGGCTGAGGGCACGTTCATGATGACAGCTAGCGTACACAGCAAGGACATGGCACGCTGGCAGTGTGAGGTCCCTCAGCCCCCGGAATTCAGCTGTCTGCACTTTCCATCACCGAGTCCTGAACACTTTCTGTCGTTTATATGTGCATTTACAGTGAGCACGCACTATTTTATAAACACTGCAAAAGTACAAAATAATCAGAACATAATTGCAAGGCCCTTTGGTGCATGCAAGGTAGTGGACATCACAGCAGGGGTTACGCATAGGTTCTGGGTTCCAATGTCGGGGTATGACTGTTTCAGTGAAGTGCAGTACGTACTCAGCCTTGCATGAGGAAAGCAACAGGGAGTGGAGGGGATTGTGTATTCTGGATAGTCAAGCCTCTCCTACCTCTTGCCATCTGGAAATGTGGGCTCCACTGGCTAGAACTTCCAATTAAAAAAACAAACAAAAAGAACTCTAAAAATGCAGAATTCTAACAACAGTCTTCCTACTTTTAAACGATAATATTTTTCAGAAAGACTCTGCATAGGCCAAATAAAATAGACCTGCAGGCTGGAATAACCCAGCCTGTTGGTGCATGTGATTCTCACTACACACTCACACAGAGGAGTGGCGTACCCAGGTAGAGGTAGAGTGTCTTCTAGAACCCGGGCACCCTGAGCGTTCTTTCTACCCCACCTCTCTGTCTCGCTTGCACATCTTCCTTCAAGACTTACTCCTCCTACCAAAAGGGGTGGCCTGCTCAGAGAGGGTCATGGGCCTTTCCCAAAAAGGGCGTGGTGCCTCACCTCACCAACGAGCTTGGGAAAGGGTCCTGTGTCCTCCTCCTCCAGCTCCAAGGTGGTAATAACCCATCTTCTCTTGGATCGCCGTAAGGTCTGGGAGCTCTCGCCCTGGGAATGACAGTGACAGCAATGACGAGGTGGCAATGCCAGCAGCTGTTTATCACACTGACTTCCTGGACAGGCCCAGCACTGACATTCCACACGCATTCTTCCTCTCCTTCCCACAGCCGCCTACATTCCGCGCCTATTTCCTTAGCCGTTGTAGAGTCACCTCTAATCAGGGTCGCATGCCACCCAGCGATTTCCTTGGTTTATGAGATCATTTTGGTGGCTGTAAGACCATCGCCTCACAGGTGCCCGTCCCTGCCTTATCAGAGACGAGCGAGTCGGCGTTGAGAAAGTTTTCCCTTCCCACTTGTCTTCCAATCTTTCTGAAATCTCCTCTGAGAAAGTCTCTGTCCAGGGCTGACGGGCTTTGAAGGCCTCTCTGTCCACTAAACCCCCTTTTAACAAAAGCAGAGAGAGAGGGAAGGAGGAGAGAGAGTGAGAGCGAGAGGTAGCTCAGACCGTGGGCTCAGGTGTTTGCCAGGCAAGATGATACAGACAGAATTTAACAGCGCGGCTTTGTGTACATTCGGTGTGGTCTACAGTTACTATCTTTTATTAAGAGTGAAGCAGATTTCTAGCCACACCAATTCTTAGCTGCAAAAATGTGCTTTTTCCCCCCAAATTAGTTATAAAGCAAATAAATCAAAACGGCACTAAGTAAAAAATCATAAGGAGCCATGAGGATATGACAAAACCCTGCAGTGTCGTGGGCACGGGGCTTCACGTCCTACCCCGGAAATACCAAGTCCAGTACCTTCAGTCCCGTGGAGGAGAGAGCGGCGCGGAGAGACTACCACGCCAGCGCGTGCAGTTGATTTCGGGGGCCCGCGGTTGCCACATTCTAATTAGACATAAAAGCACACCCGCAGCTCTCGGGCGTCCCTCCCGACTAAGGCCACGTGTAATTACTGTTTTTATTTTCTGCAAGTCAACGTTGGCAGGGCACAAAAACTCAAAACTGCAATCCAGCCCTTAGGTGTAAAGGCTGATCTTATTTATTAAAAAACCGGCTTCCAGGGGCTGGCAGATGGTGTGGTGATTAAGGGTGCTGGACTCCCACATGGCCTACTGCAGTTCGAGTCCCATACCTGGTGGCTTGCTTTCTCACTTTCCTCCTCTTTCTCACACTGTCCTTCTCTGATCAAATTAAAGTAAATAAAGTTTTTCTTTTAAAAAAAGAAAGAAAGAAACATGTTTCCAAACCTCCCACCTTTATTTGATTAATAAGATCATCTTTTTCTTGTTGAAAGCTGTTGATGATGTTGACCTTAAAAATAAAAGTGACGTTAATTAGTAGGGAATATGCTCCTCAGAATGACTTAGAAACTACCTCAAGTCACACAAATCTGGAATTAGAAACACCAAAAAAAAAAGAGTTGCATTTAGTTTGATAAATATAATTCCAGTTCTCTATATCCCAATTCATAATCACCGCTTCTCTAACTGTAGAACTAACCAAAATCATTTTGCGATACAGTCTGCCATGGAAGATCCAGCCACCTTAACCACCCACCTCCAGCCACCCCAAGTGCACATCTTTTAAATATCCTGTGACCAGGTGGGAAGTCTGCTTTCAACACATGGCTGCACATTGAGCAGCCCGGTCCTCTGAGCGAAGAGCACCTGAGTGATTGACTTGCCAGCACACAAGACGGGGTTTGGTTTGTTCATTCGTTTTTGTTCTTGTTTTGTTTTGTTTTGTTTTTTCTTTTTCTTTGTCTTTTTCTTTTAATGAGACTTCATTTACTTGTAAGAACAATTGACAAATTGTCATGATTCAGACTTGGGTACTTGATAACAGTTCCCTGATGATGAACAAAGTGAGCTTGCTGCTATAAAAAAGAAAAAAAAAAATCTATGAAAGATATCTGTTTCCAATGTTGAAATTTAAACTTTCAAGCAAAAATCTGAATTTTGGAAAACTTGTGTTTGCTACTAGGAGCTTTATATATTCCCAATAATTAAAGATTTTTCTGATGACTTCAGTAATAATAATGGAATGGATTTTCTCCCTATGTGGACTAAAATACATCGACATTTGGAGTATCTACGTAACTCTATGGCCCAGTTGTTTCCTAAGAACAAGGCACCATGTTCCAGAATCACCCTCAGGTAAGAGCCATCCATGAGGGAAGACCAATGGATTGTAATGTAACAGAGCAGGGCAAGGTGGTTAAACAGTGTCAGATCGCACTTTGCCAGCAACATTTAAGAAACTACCATGTGTCAAGTTCTGGCTTAGTAACAAAGAATACCCCTAATCATCTCTTTAAGGCTATTCTCTTCCAAACACACGTCTACCTGAGGCCAGAATGTCTTCATATTCTTCAGCCAAACAACTGTGCCCACAGACTGAGTGCAGAAGCAAAGAGGAGAATCCAATTATCTTCTCTGAAGCCGGACATTCAAAAGATATGCAGAAATGTGGGACCAACAGGGGGCATGGTGGTTAAGGTGCTGGACTCCCATGGCAGACCGTGGTTTGAATCCTGGACCTGGCTGCTTGAAAATCATATTGGGTGCAAATGGGTGTGTGCCCAAAGTCCCCACGGGAGAATGGAGGAGAAGGGATTAGAGCAAGCCCATCCTCTTGTGGGGGAGATTTCTCACTTTCCCTCTCACTGTCTCTCTCCAGCCAGTGCACACACCCTATGGCAAAAATCTTACAGAAAATAAATATACCGATATGTAGAATGGTGTTGTTCTTCTTCTTCTTAAACAAAATTTTGAAAAAGACAGTGATTTTTTCCTAACAATGGGTGATTTATATGAGCACGTACTGACTTTATTGTCATTGTCTTTAATGAATGAGAACTGTGTTGGAGTTTCTAACATGAAATCAGTACATAGAGCCACCTAAATGAAAGCTGGAGGCTTGCTCTCAGGTTGAGCACACCCCCGGCCTGCCTAGACCCTGCCAACCACCCTGAGAACCTAGCCTTTCAGAGCGGGTCACAGCGCAGCGGACGGCGCAGGAGTGGTTTCGTGGAAAATGAAGAGACCTGCTGCTCATGGCCACTTCTAGTGGCGAGCTCCCCTCACGGCAGGTGGGTAACAATCCCGGGCTGTTTAATGTCAGAGATAATATTCGTTTCCTGCCACAGCCTATATTTCTATCTATTTACTTAAAAAATACCCTGAGTTCCAAAATCCAAACTGATGCATTCTGACTATGAATGCTTCTTGATGAATGTTGGTAGTAAAGTTAAGGGCTTAGCCAGGTGTATAATCTTTAATTGGAGAAAATTGTAGCTCTTGCAAAAGAATGAAGACATTCATTCAGTTTCTAAAACAGGGATATTTCTAGGTATCAATAAGGATATATTGAGGTTTCATGTCCTCTCCGGGTCAGTGTCCCCGTTTATAAATTGAGGGGATGAGACACCTTCAAGGTGTCTGTCAGGGTCCTCTCAACACTAACAGCTCTGTAAATCCATTCGACCGGGATATCACACAGCGCTATCCGCCCTCCTCTGAGAGCCGGCCACAGTGTACAAAAGAGGTTTGAAATGGTGAATGTTCATACTTTGCCACAGAGATGATTAAAATTTCACCTTGCCTGTGTTTCATTTCTCCTCTCATTATGCATGCCTTAGAAATTAACTTGAAGCACAGCAGGTGGCATGGTACTGAAGGCTCTGGACTCTCACATAGCCAACTGCAGTTAGAGTCTCAGACCAAGTGGCTTGAAAATCATGTCGGGTACATGTGTGTGTGTGCCCAAAATCCCAGGAGGAGATGGGGCTGGCAGGTGGTGTGGTGATTAAGGATGCTGGACTCCCACATGGCTGACCATGGTTCAAGTCCCAGACCTGGCAGCTTGCTTTCTCACTCTCTCTCTCTCCTCGCTCACTCTGTCTCTCCCTGGTCAAATTAAAATGAATAAATAAAGTTAAATAAAATAATTCTTTGGGGACCAGCAGATGGTATGGTGGTTAAGGTGCTGGACACTCCCACATGGTTGACCACAGTTCAAGTCCTGAATCTGGTGGCTTGCTTTCTCACTTTCTCTCTTGCTCTCTCTCTGCTTCTCTCTGGTCAAATTAAAATAAAATAAACAAATAAATAAATAAAATTAAATAAACAACTGTTTTTAAAAAAAATCCCAGGAGGAGAAGGGATTGTGCCATAGCCATCCCCTCTGAGGAGTGATTTCTCACTTCCCTGCTCACTGTCTCTCTCTCCAGCAAGCACACACGCCCTATGGCAAACACCTTTAAAAAAAAAAAAAAAGAATAAGGAAATTAACTTGAGGTATCTCATCTGGGTGATACAGGAGGACTAGAAATTGCTGTATTTGCTGAAATGATTTTCTAAGTGCTCTCCTCGTTATATGAGCACGTACTGACTTTATTGTCATTGTCTTTAATGAATGAGAACTGTGTTGGAGTTTCTAACATGAAATCAGTACATAGAGCCACCTAAATGAAAGCTGGAGGCTTGCTCTCAGGTTGAGCACACCCCCGGCCTGCCTAGACCCTGCCAACCACCCTGAGAACCTAGCCTTTCAGAGCGGGTCACAGCGCAGCGGACGGCGCAGGAGTGGTTTCGTGGAAAATGAAGAGACCTGCTGCTCATGGCCACTTCTAGTGGCGAGCTCCCCTCACGGCAGGTGGGTAACAATCCCGGGCTGTTTAATGTCAGAGATAATATTCGTTTCCTGCCACAGCCTATATTTCTATCTATTTACTTAAAAAATACCCTGAGTTCCAAAATCCAAACTGATGCATTCTGACTATGAATGCTTCTTGATGAATGTTGGTAGTAAAGTTAAGGGCTTAGCCAGGTGTATAATCTTTAATTGGAGAAAATTGTAGCTCTTGCAAAAGAATGAAGACATTCATTCAGTTTCTAAAACAGGGATATTTCTAGGTATCAATAAGGATATATTGAGGTTTCATGTCCTCTCCGGGTCAGTGTCCCCGTTTATAAATTGAGGGGATGAGACACCTTCAAGGTGTCTGTCAGGGTCCTCTCAACACTAACAGCTCTGTAAATCCATTCGACCGGGATATCACACAGCGCTATCCGCCCTCCTCTGAGAGCCGGCCACAGTGTACAAAAGAGGTTTGAAATGGTGAATGTTCATACTTTGCCAC